ATAGGGTCTCCAYAGCTGATGGATCCCATGTTCCCATTGCTGGGAAGGGATCTGTCAAGATTAGTGATTCTATTTCTCTTCCCTCTATCCTTCATGTTCCCAAATTGAGCACTAATTCGTTATCTGTTAGTAGTTTGATTAAGAACCTGAACTGCTTAGTAATTTTTTCTCCTGGTCATTGTATTTTGCAGGATCTGGATTCAAAGAGGACGATTGGGAGTGGTCGTGAAGTGAATGGGATCTACCTCCTAGATATGCTTCCTCCTCATCAAAGTCATCATGTCAGCAGGGATAGTGAGTCGGGCCTGTGGGTCAAATTATGTTTTGGCATAATCGTTTGGGTCATTTACCTTTTTCTTCTTTGAGTCTATTAGTTTGTCAAGTTTGGAGTGTGAAGGTTRTCAACTTGGAAAGCATTGTAGACATTCATTTAAACCTAGTAATAAAAGGTGTTATTCTTTTGATGTTATCCATTCTAATGTGTGGGGACCTTACCATGTTCCTTCTATGGGAGGCTATCGATATTTTCTCTTATTTGTGGATGATTTCTCATGATACTCTTGAATTTACCTGATGAGATCCCGCGATGAAGTACCATCCTTGGTGAGGCAATTTCATCAGATGGTGCTAACACAGTTTGGAACAAGAATAAAGGTGTTTAGATTAGACAATGTCAGGGAATATTTTGAAAAACACCTTGCCTCGTATCTGTTAGAATATGGTATTGTCCATCAAAGCAGTTGTCCCTACAGTCCACAGCAGAATGGTGTTGCAGAAAGGAAAAACAAACACAATGTTGAGATTGTAAAAAGCATGATGATCACATCTACAGTTCCAGTTCGGTTTTGGGGTGATGCAATTCTCACAGCAGTATATCTGATTAACAGGGTGCCCTCTCATATACTTGGATTCAGCACCCCATTCAGTCTCCTTTTTCCTGAGGGGGAGATGTTTCATATTCCTCTCAAGGTGTTTGGGTGTGTCTGCTTTGCACATATCCTTGGTCCTCATCGCTCAAAGCTTGATCCAAAGGCAAAGAAATGTGTCTTCCTTGGATATGCAGAAAATCAGAAAGGGCACTGCTGCTATGATCCAGTCTCTGAAAGCCGGTATGTTACCATGGATGTCACATTTTTTGAATCTACATACTTCTTCTCAAAGAATCCTTCTCAGGGTGAGTGTTTTGGGGAAGTGAGTTAGCAGTCTATTCCTCTCCCAGTTCTAGTCCCTGTGTCTACTCCTGTGCTTGACCCTCCTGTGTCACCTACCTTACCACCTCCTTTGCGTCCTACTTCTCAACATTACTTACGACAGAGACTTCACAAGGAGGTTGATTCAACTACAGCAGAACTCACATCACTTCCTGTTAGTTCCTTGGAAACTCCAGATTCAGCTAACATGGATTCAGGTATTCCTCTTGGTCCCGCTACTGTTTCAGTTCCCATTGATTCTACTAACCTTGTTACAGATAACCTCGATCTTCCTATTGCTCTCAAAAAAGGGAAGAAAACGTGTACTACTCATTGTATTTCACAGTACTTATCCTACAGTGGACTTTCTCCTTCCTAC